TACGATTTTTTGGCAATCATACCGATGAATCGTATTATCAAGTTAGGGTTGTGAATAATTTTCGAAAAAGAGTTATTCGAGAGATAAACTCTCGTTGTTCCTGCGCGACTCGTTAAAGCAGCATTATCAGAATGTGACTGTTTCAAACGAGAAGTCATCCCACGAAGAGTCTCTGTATTGTCGAAGCCTAAGCCGAGATATTTTCCGTGGCTGATAAAAGAAAGTCTAAGCGGCATTCAAGTGACTCAAATCCCGACTTTTCTCCTAGAGGAAAAGTCAATCCAAGAATTGCTCAAAGGATGTCTCGACTCCAATTAGGAGCCATCAGACGCAGAGATTACAAAAGAATGCAAGAAGGAATGTCCTCGGAGGATGAATTCTCAGACACTTGTTCAGCCATTGCTTCTGATGATACAATGTCTAGCACAGGACAAACCAAAGAAGTGTTCACAATCACTTCTGATCAATTTGCTCAAATGCTTCAAGAAGCTCTAGCCAAGCAACGTGAAGAAATTAGAGCTGAAATGAAGACAGAGATGGGGTTAGCTATCTAACAAATGAGAGAGTTGCTAACTCAACGGCCTCAACCTCCTGAGTCCAGTCAGCGAGCTGAATCCGGCCGCCACACTCAGAATGTTATAGATGACAGTGATCCAGAAGTGGATGAAGTCATTATGGCTGATACACCTCCCAATAGCAATAACGCTGGGGGTGGTTTAACACATCCTCCCAATAATGATATTGGGGGTGGTTCAATGGCGCCTCTTACAGGGGATGGTCTAACTCATTCTCCTCAACGTCTTTCGAATGAAGACAAAGACGATGACAAGAAAATGAAAGAGCTTGAAAATAAGGTCAACGCTTTGATGACAGCTCAAGAAGTAAAGAAGACGGGTATTCCATGTCCCTATCCAAGAGAATGGGATTCAATACCGTATCCAACAAAGTTCAATCTGATTAACTTCACACCATTTGAGGGGAAGAGCTCGCCTATTCAGCACTTGATTTATTTCAAGTCTTATTTGGGCATAATCTCTGGTCGTTGGCACCCTTCGTGGGCCCGCCTTCGATTGGTACCGACGGCTCAAGTCAAGGAGCATCAATTGCTAAGATGACATGGAAAGTTTGTTCCTCAATAATTTCTTCGATGATGACACCGAAGTGTCAATCGGAACCCTTTTGGATGAGAAGCAAAAAGACGGAGAATCAGTCGACAATTTTGTCAAACGCTTCCGTGACAAGGCAATTAGTTGCAAAGATCCTGTTACAGAGGAGTTCATCTTGCAAACATGCCATAATAATCTCTCTATCGATGTCCTGGAAGCCCTGGGGGTCGTACCATCCAAAACTTGGAAAGAACAAGCTGAGCACTTTCTTAAAAGAAAGAAAGCTGAGAGAGGCCAACCAATGACATCTGCAATCGTTGAGAATGCGACTCTCGATCCGAGGTTTCAAGAGGAATATTCTTTCGAAGATGATGAAGCTCCAGCCATATTGGAATACCTCCTCGCTAATGACAAAATCGAGCTACCACCTATTAAAGATCAGGATGGAGCTAAGAGGATTACAGATCCAAACTACTGTGCATATCACAGAAGGGTTCTTCATCCCACCGAGATTTGCTTTGGACTCAAAAACAAGATCCAAGCTCTAATTGACTCCGGCGTCATAACGACGAAAGAAGTCGAGTAAAGACGACCATACAACTCCAGTGGGTGCACGAGTATAAACTGTTTCCTCACACTCCAAAGAGTATATGAGTATAAACTGCTTCTCGATTATCCAACTGAGTACAATGTTAAACCCAGTTTCGCAAAGGAAGCTGGGGGTGGAAGTTCCTGGAGAATCTTATATTCTTAAGGATAACCCGAATATGTGACTGAGGATAACGTACTCCTCGTTACACCCAGTTTTGCAAAGAAAGCTGGGGGTAGATAATTCATGTA